CCCCCGTGTGGCCGCCGGCGCGGCGCGCAGTCCTGCGATGGGGGCGCCTGGAAAGCGCGGACGCCGCCAAGGGTTTCATCAGACGGTTTCCTTCAACCCAGCAAATGGCACCCATCATCAGCGTTAACATTAGTTTTAATGAATAATTACATTTCATTTAATTCATTAGTAGTTAATTTGTTAGAATTGGGATTCGCCGCTAAGAACGAGGGTGAATTCAATGTGCACCCCTGACGGGCGGCAGGCCCGTCCGCAGGCACAGCAGCTGCTGGGCTCTGTCCGCCTTCGCAGCCCCCCCCCCCCCCCCCCCCCCCCCCCCGAGCAGCACCGAGGGCGACCCTGGGCCTCCGCGCCAGGGAAGATGGCTCCGCGGGCCACCGCTGAGCCCACGCGGGGTCCGCCCTTGAGCCCCGGGTGCGGTCTGAATGACCAGGTTGGGCTGATTTAAATATGATGTACAAGAACTACTTTTGGAAACTGAATTAATAACAGAGATATTAAATGTCTGGAAGGTCTCAAAAAGGATTAAAGGCAGACACATTTCAAATGCAATTACTGTTCAGCCAAAGTTGTGGGGACTAAAAGTGTGAACAATTTCCTGACTTTTGGTAAATTTCCTAGTGAAGGGAGAAGAATCCAAGTTCTCATACTCCAGGAGTTGCACGGTGGACACGAGCAGCTGCACCCCTCTTCTTCTCCAGCCGGGGAAAGGAGGTGTGGGGGCCTCACCCTGACCTTCATGGCTTGGGGCTCCACCTGTCTCCAGGGCAGACTTCAAGGCCAGGGCCAGGGGCCGCGACCTGGAGGACAGCGTCCTCATGCAGAGCACAGGCCCTGCAGGTGCCAGATCCCGTTGCCCAAAGCCCCTCAGCAGGCGCTGGGACCCCACCGTGTGCAAACTGCCCCATCTGGAAAGCTTTTCTAGCACCTTTTCTGTTAGTTGAAAAGTCGGAGGACAACTCGACTTTGATTAGGGAACACATAGATCCTGTAGGGCAGACGTTCTAGAAGTCCCAAAGCTCTCATCAGAAAGGGGCTGGGTCAGTGAGGGTCACAGCCAGGGCAAATCCTCGAGTCCCTCACTGGCCAGGGAAGTCCCCACCCCCAGAGACCTCGAACGGACTGGGTTAGGCATGGCCATGTTGTTTCGTTTTCCAGGCACTGGGGGTGGGCTTGCTCGCTGGGGGCCTCACAGGAACCACACACTCAGCATGCTGGTGGCTTGAATGCTACCTCCGTTCTGATTATGGAAGTGACAGGAGCGGAGGCACTGGGGTGGCAGCTGAGCGTCCTTTCTATGTGGTCCAGGATTATCATCCCCAGATAAGGGCTTCAAAAGCCCAAATAATCCTTTCTATAACACGATTTATTCAACAAACAGCTGGGTCTGCCCGCTATGACCGGCCGTGACTTTGGCAGATGTGAGGTTTTTAATCTTTCCAGTGGCCATGGCTTAGGATCCTGTGGCTGTGCCTGGCAGCGGGGGGAGAGGGGGGATTGGCGACAGAAGGGTGGCATTGTGTTTCCTTTAAACTCAAGAAAATCATGAAAATGACACACACCTATTGCATAAAAAAAGAAAAACAGAAAAGCACATGGGGGAGTTAGAATACAACCCCACCACCCCACAGCAGTGCCTGCTCAGTTTTGCTCAGTGCTGAGCCCTCACGAAGGGCCGTGGGGCTGGGGTCCCGCTCACCGCACTCCCATTGGCTTCTCCCCGCTCTCTCCTCCTCAACGAGCCCCTTCCAACCTGGAGTCTGGCTCAGCTTTGCCCGAGGATGAGATTAATGACACAGAGAGTGAAGACATGGCTGGGAGACTGCCTGTGTTTGTGCAATTTTGGCTTCTGCCATTAATGGGGGGCGATTGGGTGTCTGGGATCATGACAGATGGCCAGGAGGGCTCTGCACAGCTTCACAAAGATGGCCTATCTGTGGCCTAAGTTTACTGGTGTCGACAGCACTGGCGTTCTAAGTATGTCCTCAGATAAAATTAACCTTCCAACAACTTGGGGCTTTGCAAGTTCAGTGACTCCTATTCTCTAACTATTTTTAGGGCTATTCATTGCCACGTTCCCCAGGGTGTTTATCAGTGGAATCTCCTGAGTCACAAATGATGACAGACAGCCTGGGTGATGACTGAAGGAGGATGTGTTTTTCCGTCTGTGTTGTAAGGGACCCGCGTTGGGTGCTCCCCACATATTCCCTTGGCAAACCAAATGTCTGTGCTGTGTGCCAGATTCCGGACCTTTCTTTTTGGACTTTCTGCTTCCCTATCCAGCCCGTGCGGTCAGCTCTGGAATGCCCCACGAGGAATCTCTGTTGGGCATAGAATGTCACTGGCTGCTGGTTTCAGAGCCTTTTTCTGATTGGCTCTGGAGAGCCCCATGCTAGGCGAAGCCGGGCCCCTTCCCCTTCCTTTGCCAACCTGATCACAGGGTCAAAACAAAACAACCCAAACCACAAGTGAAGCCTAGCGAGATGACATGAGACCCCAGAGAGCGCCACAAGCTAGACCCCAGCTCCCACCCAGCAGCTTCTGCGCCACCAAGGGTGGAGGCCACAGTGGCCACAGCAGGGCAGAGGCCAGTGAGACTTGGGTTGTGCATTTTGGAGTCCGGTTCCTCATCGGGAGGTGAGATGGCCTAGGTCCCCCGACGGCTTGGCCTGCACCGTGCGCTCTGCCCTCCTGCCCGCCCAGGGTGGTCACAGTCCTGAGCGTGAAGCAGGAGTCCTGGCTCTAACGGCCTTCGTGACCTCTCCACACTTGAGCTTTTCCCACTACAGATATAAGGGGATTTAGTTTTCTGAGAAGTTCTGGGTAACGGATGAAGTGTTTGAAGGACTTTTGGAAAATCACAAAGCTTTGTACACATCATATCAGGCATTGTCCTGGGGTTGACATTTGTGGACATATTTTGATCAAAGGTGAGGTACAACCAATAGGCAGGAGTTGGTCTAAAAGCCTCGCGTGTACTTTCTTTCGATGGCTTGTTGCAAGCTGGTAACAACATGTGCAAGCTTTAGAGATATAAGGACATTTTGCACAGAACACTGTCCAGTCATTGTAGGTTTTATTGGCACCTGCTACATGCTAGAAAAGCAAACGGGATGGGACCAGCTGCAGCCAGAATGAAGCAGGAGAACTCCCGGCAGAGGTTGGGGGTCCGGGCATGGCGGGCCGAGGGTTCTGTGAGCTGGTGGCTGTGTGTCTCCACCCTGCGTGGGGCCTCAGGCTGCCATCTTGTCGGGGGTGTGGAAGGACTTGGCACCCCGCAGGGACGGCTGTGGGGGCCTCTGCAGCATCCTATGCCTGTCATCCAGCTTCTGGGCCCATTCTCCACGGAGCCTGGGATGGTGGCAATTTCGGCACTGTGAGTCACCTTCAGGGACTGTGTAACAGCCAGGCCATGTCTGTCGGCACCTGAGCACATGTGTGAGCACCTCCGCTCCCTCCCAGGGCTGTGTCCCCATCCAGCCACAGACACGACCTTGTGGGGCCCAGGAGAGCCCTGTGACGTGGGCCAGGTCACAGAGGGTCTCACTCCGCACCTGTCTGCCCAGGAGGGAAATTACTTTGCCCCACGACGCAGCTTGTGGGAAGGTGTGTGCCCCATAGACACTGAGCTGCGTCCTGAGCTGCCCACCTGGTGAGTGCCCAGGGTATCGCACAGGACCATGGGCTCACACAGACTGGACGCAGGCCCATGGTCACCTGAGCCCCTCTGAGTGTCCTCACGCTGGGCCCTGCTCCCCTCCTTCCTTCTGAGACTGCCCACCGTGGAAGGTGGCACGGTGTTGTGACCACAGCACAATGCCTGGGGTGGTCGGGCACAGGGACAGCCTGGTTCAAGAGTCTAGGCCTCCCCAGTCCCAGACACCTGCCCTCAGGCAATGACCACCTGGTGCCTTCAGGGCCAAGTGTGTGGTTTGGCTTTAGACAGCTGAGAGTGGGGTGGGTACCCTGCTCCGGTCAACCTCTGAAGTTGGTGGCAACTTGGTAAAATGCATCCACTCAGATGCTTGCCCCAGCATCCAGGGACCTAAGTGAGGCAGATGCCTCCAAACAGCAAGTAGTGGCCCCAGGACAGCAGTGTCCGTGTGTGACTGTGCATGGCGGGCATACTCCTGCCCCTTAACCAGGTCCAGGCTGCTGCCTGGCAGCCCCCAAGCCAGGCATGTAAAGCAGATGAATCCTGGAAACTGCAGGATGGCTGTGGGGATGTCAGGGGACAGGGCATGTCCTGGCTGTGGCCTGTGGCCCTGGTAACCAGCCACATCTCCCCAGGCAGGAACCGAATGTCATGGCTCACAGCCCTGTCCCAGACAGCCTGGGACTTTGGTGACTTACCCAGCTGTAGCTGATGACACCCTCATTGTCTGACCCAGAGCCCACTCCTGGGACCTGCGCCACTGGGCAGAAGACCCAGAATGTCCCAGGGCTTGATGGCACAAGAGGACAGGGCGAGGTCCTGAGACCCCAGGGGGAGCTCCGGGGGCGAGGGGTGATGAGGCTGGGAGGAGGCATCAATGGGCGGTCCCCTCTTCCCACGGTGTCGGGGGGCTCTGCCGGACACCACCCAAGGGCTGAGGTGGGTGCAGAGCCCGGCTGAGGGACCAGGACAGGCACAGAGGAGGGCACTACGGCCCCTGTACCTGTGCCTGGTGGGGACAGATGTCCTGGAGGACAGAGCCCATCCCACAGCCAGGTGATATCAGGAGGGAGTGGGGGAGGGGGGCCACCACAGCAACCAGACCCCTGGCAGCTGGAGGGTCAGTCCAGCCTGGTCTCGCCAGGGTCATCCTCCCCAGCCCACTCCCAGGGCAGCAGCTGCTGGTGCTA